CAGCTGTGGGTAGTGGATGCTATCACACACACACACACAAAATGGATAATCTTTATGTAAGACTTTCGGCCGATTTTATTGGTCAGAAACTATCGTGAGAGGACTGCCTAAAGAAGACAAACCAATGTCCTTTTGACACATGTCGTATGTTCTCTAAATAGAAAATGTGTTCATTATACTTATAAGTCGTTGTATTAGCACAGTGTGCTTCAGAACAACAACCAATTTATTATCGTATTAGCACAGTGTGCTTTCGAACACAATCAAGTAGTCTAGACGTAATAGCTCATTTCCCTGAAAGGAGGCCGAAGGCCGCCTGGAGGGGTCACCCGTTTTAACCACTCGCACCACTATATAGTAGTGTCTTGTCTGTCAGTCAGTCAGTAGAAACTAAAATGACCTTACAAAAGGGACGCTTAACGTTGCAGTTTTAACTGTCGTGACGTCAGGAAAACATTTTTAATTTTCATGGTTGATAACACTAAGTTAGAATTCAGTTGTTTTAAACGGACACTATATATTGATATGTTTGTTTGAATGCAGGAAAAACTTAATTTGTCTTTTAGAAAATAGTGTTTGTGCATCTGTTTCTTTGACCACCCATCCGTCTGTATTCTGTCTACTTATCTGACTGACTGTCTCTGTCTACTCATGTGTGTCTGCCTACTAGTCATTCTATTTGGCTGTCTTTCTGTCTACTTATCTCTCAGTCTTAACTTCTATCTCTCTGTCATTCTGTCTGTGAAACCAATGTACTTCAATTTATTTATCTCATTTTCGATATTAACAAGTTAATGTTTGTTTCTCTACCTATCTCTCTAGTTTTATATCTGGGTGGTTGTCCGGTTTAATATATCTCTCTCTCTCTAGCATTTTATCTGGAAGTCCGTATGACTCTCACTATATATCTGTATCTAATTAATCATCTCTCTGTTTTTCTGTCTATCTAAAAGTCAAACCCACTTTCACTAGTTTATATACACACTAACAATATTTCAAGCTCTTTCTCTCAGTAGTTTATCTTACGGCCCACATTACCCTATTTACTAGTATTTTTGTATTGTTTTAAATCACTACATTCAACCTCTGCAGAGGTAATTGTTGTACTTTTAACATTCTATGTTAGTATCCAGTATGATGTATCAAACTATGACAACACTGGTTGAGTTGTCTTAGTTTGATACATCATACTGGATACTAATATAGAAGATACTAATATAGAATCAACCAGTGTTGTCATAGTTTGATACCTCATAATGGATACTAATATAGAATCAACCAGTGTTGCCTTAGTTTGATACATCATAATGGATACTAACATAGAATCAACCAGTGTTGCCTTAGTTTGATACATCATACTGGATACTAATATAGAATCAACCAGTGTGTTCACAGTTTGATACTTCGTCCTGGATACTAATATAGAATCAACCAGTGTTGTCATAGTTTGATACCTCATAATGGATACTAATATAGAATCAACCAGTGTTGCCTTAGTTTGATACATCATACTGGATACTAATATAGAATCAACCAGTGTTGTCATAGTTTGATACTTCGTCCTGGATACTAATATAGAATCAACCAGCTACTAATATAGAATCAACCAGTGTTGTCATAGTTTGATACATCATACTGGATACTAATATAGAATCAACCAGTGTTGTCATGGTTTGATACCTCATACTGGATACTAATATATCCAGGACGAAGTATCAAATTATGACAACGCTGGTTGATTCTATATTAGTATCCAGTACCATGTATCAAACTATGACAACACTGGTTGATTCTATATTAGTATCCAGGACGAAGTATCAAATTATGACAACGCTGGTTGATTCTATATTAGTATCCACCACGAAGTATCAAACTAAGACAACGCTGGTTGATTCTATATTAGTATCCAGTACGAAATATCAAATATGACAACACTGGTTGATTCTATATTAGTATCCAGTACGAGGTATCAAACTAAGACAACGCTGGTTGATTCTATATTAGTATCCAGGACGAAGTATCAAACTATGACAACGTTGGTTGATTCTATATTAGTATCCAGTATGATGTATCAAACTAAGACAACGTTGGTTGATTCTATATTAGTATCCAGTACGATGTATCAAACTATGACAACACTGGTTGATTCTATATTAGTATCCAGGACGAAGTATCAAACTATGACAACGCCTGTTGATTCTATATTAGTATCTCACTTGTTATTCTTGTCTACTGGAAAATATGAGTTCTGTGCTTTGAATACTATATCATCGTACTAAATACTTCTACATACACATTAATATCTCAAACCCTCGTTCTTCCTACTCATTCTTCTTTGTTAAACATATCTATGTACCATTTCCCCTTCACTTGCTCATACCATCATATCTGATATACTGTACTACTTAACAGTTCATACACGTACCACTCTGCGCATGTCCATCACTATACCTTATACACACAAGTATTGTATCATACCACTTATTTCTTCTTCTTCTTCCACGGCTTAGATAGTTTTAAAAAATTCGCATTCGAAATATCTAGTTGTATAGTGACATCTAGGTTGAAATTAAAGAACTATTTTCTATCTTTCCTGTTCTCCTGGGCATTGTTGGTTCGTTTAGCTTGAGATAGTAAACACTAAATCATTTTAAAACGTGAAGTGGTTTGATATAACTCAGTATATTATCAGCTCTATCTGTTCAGTTACTTAATAAATTCAATCCTATAACATATTGTCTATAATAGAAATAATAACCAGATGTTCTAGGTTTAACTTTTAAATTCTGTGCAGCTGAGGTTACGAACAAGGTCACTTGTGGATTACCTGTAAATAGATAAAGGATAAAAACCAGATAATCTTGGTTTAACTTTTAAATTCTATGCAGCTGAGGTTACGAATAAGGTCACTTGTGGATTACCTATAAATAGATAAAGGATTAAAACAAGATAATCTTGGTTTAACTTTTAAATTCTATGCAACTAAGATTACGAACAAGGTCACTTGTGGATTACCTGTAAATAGATAAAGGATTAAAACAAGATAATCTCGGTTTAACTTTTAAATTCTATGCAGCTGAGATTACGAACAAGGTCACTTGTGGATTACCTGTAAATAGATAAAGGATTAAAACAAGATAATCTTGGTTTAACTTTTAAATTCTATGCAACTGAGATTACGAACAAGGTCACTTGTGGATTACCTGTAAATAGATAAAGGATTAAAACAAGATAATCTTGGTTTAACTTTTAAATTCTATGCAACTGAGATTACGAATAAGGTCACTTGTGGATTACCTGTAAATAGATAAAGGATTAAAACAAGATCATCTCGGTTTAACTTTTAAATTCTATGCAACTGAGATTACGAACAAGGTCACTTGTGGATTACCTGTAAATAGATAAAGGATTAAAACAAGATAATCTAGATGAAAGACTTAAGCTTTACCGACTGAGGTTACGAACATTTATGGATTACCTGTAAATGAAAAGGGGATAATCACTAGATCATCTCGGTTTAAACCTTAAACTTTACATCATTGAGGTTAAGAGAAAGGTTACTTACAGATTATCTGTAAACAAATATGAGATAATAGCAAGATAATCTAAATATAAATATTAAGATTTACTTAATTCAGATTAAGTACAAGGTCGTTCCTGGATTATAAGTAAACAAAGGATAATACCCAGATAATCTAAATTTAAATCTTGAACTTTACAAGACTGAGATTAAAAGCAAGCTCATTCATAGATTATCTGCAAACAAATAAGGGATAATAAATAGATTATCTTCGTCGTGCTTGAAGTTTAATATACTGTGTAGTTTTCCATTTATTCTTAATGAAGAAACTCCACTTTCCGAAAGCGATCTGGTCATTGTGTTCTCTATCTGATCCGAACTTTAGAATATCATAAGGAAAGGTCAAGGTCAACATTTGAAATTAACATTATTGTAAGAAGTTATACATAATATAAAGCGAGAAAAAGGGTTACTTGCAACCTCGTAGTTGGAGGATCTCACCAAGTACGTAACTAACGTTTTGTGATTAACTGTTTTGTTTATGGCTATCAACATACCGCTTACGATATAAACGGTTATAGCGTATCTCCAGTTCTCTAAAGAAGTGATATTGGATATTTTAGGCTAATTCTGTGGTAAGATTATGAAATCAAATATTCAACCTGATAAAAGCTTTGTTTTATTTGTGTTCTTTGTTCAGTTTTCCAGAATACTGAGTTTGATTTTGTATTTGCAGGTTTATTTCATGTTAAATGTCATGTTCTTGAAAAGAAGAAGAATGAGAAGAAGGAAAGATAGCTGTCATCATTACCAATTAGTTTGGACGTTTGTCATAATGATGACTCATCTGCCGGTGGACGGCCAATACAACTGTCCTAACCGAATGCTGATTCGTCCGTGTACCTGCACAGAGAAGTCCATTGGCCTGGATGTCACGTGCAAAGGGGCCAATAGCCATCAGCTCCGTGAAGCTATTGAAAATGTCCAACAAACACGTCAGACTGTGTGGTACCTAAAGTTAACAAACAACAGGCTTCCAAAGCTACCGGGGTTACTTCTAGCGGACGTAGACGTGAAAAACATTTTGCTACTAGGCTGTAATACCTCCAATATTGATAAACTGGCATTTACAGGGCTAGGAGACAAGTTGGAAACGCTCGACCTTTCCAAGAACTTATTGCAACAGGTTCCAAGCGGAGCTTTGGAGACATTAGGGTCATTGACCTCTCTCAACCTCAACTACAATAGGATTGAGAGCATCCACGCTTCTGCCTTCCGAGGGCTTATCTCTCTTCTGAGGCTTTATTTGTACGGTAATAAAATTAAATTTATCGACAACCTTGCCTTTTTAGGAATAGGAGAGAACCTGACACGGCTGAACCTTGGGAATAACGGACTCACCTCCATCCCCAGCCAATCTCTACAAAACCTTACAATTCTTCGACGTTTTCAAGTGCCCCAAAACCAGATTACCATCATCTTACCAGAGGAGTTCAAGGCTGTGGGGGTTCATCTGGACACCCTTGACCTTGCTCAAAATCTTCTGCAGGAGCTACCCGACAGAGCTTTCGAGTTTCTACCTACCCTAAGCTCATTAGACTTGGAAGGAAATCGCATTTCATACATTCACCCCGAAGCATTTAAGGGGCTTGAAGGTACGAGATCCGGAAATCTGTTTTTATGTGTGTTTTGTCTTCTTTTGAAATACTTAACGATGAATAACGATTTGAAAGGAATTTATCTCTGTCTGTTACTACCACCTCTCTTAAATATTGGATTAGTCCGCATCCACACTAACAATTACTTAGTGATTTCATAATTGTCCCAAAAAGACACTCAAAATTTTGTTATTTGTTTTTGCTTGCTCTACATATACGACTTTATTTATTCACTTTTGAAACTAACTGATCGTCATCTATGCCTACAAGGTGTTATGGATTTGAAGTTCTGATAATCATTTCTATGTCTACAAGGTGTTATAGGTTTGAAGTTCTGATTGCTATTTCTATGTCTACAAGGTGTTACAGGTTTGAAGTTCTGATTGCTATTTCTATGTCTACAAGGTGTTATAG